CAGCAGTGCAAGGCGGAACAGAGGCCGCCTTGTGGACTGATGGGTCGTCGAGAGGTCTCGCGACCCTGGCAGGTGGTGGCCAGTGATATTACTGGCCCTTTCCCAAAGAGCTCGAGAGGGTTTGAGTATATTTTGGTCTTCTTAGACCTGTTCACTCGGTGGATGGAGTGTCTACCCGTACGCAAGGCCAATGGAAGGACCATCGTGCGGGAATTGCATGAGAGGGTGGTAACCACGTTCGGCGCGCCCGAGATATTTCTTTCGGACAACGGGACCGAATTTAAAAATCAGGAGGTTGATGCCTACTTGCTGAGGAACGACATCCGGCGCGCCCTTACTCCAGTTTACCACCCACAGGCAAACCCTACAGAACGAGTGAACAAAAACCTCAAGACCATGCTCATGTCGTACGTGGAGCGGGACCATAAGAGCTGGGATGAGCACCTGCCAGAGTTCAACTTCGCGTTGAACTCGGCAACTCATAGCGCGACAGGCTATAGCCCGGCTATGCTAGTCTTCGGTAGACGGCCCACTCCCCCCTCGACCTTTAGGAGAGCCCAAGATCAGTTGGCTCGGGAAGCTTCCGAGGGCCAAGAACTGACCGAATGGGGTGAGCACATGCGCCAATTACCCAACTTATGGGAACGCGCTGGCTCTAAGTCCAGGGAGGAGGCGGACCGTCAGGCGGTCTACTACAACCGGAGGAGACGCCAGGTCGACTTTAGGGTTGGGGACTGGGTGTGGAAACGGAACCGTATCTTGTCTTCCGCAGCTCAGGGCTGGTCCATATGTCATAGAGGAGGTATGTGGGACTAATACCTACCGCCTCGGTAGCCAGCAGGAAGAGTTGCCCGAGGTGATCCACGCCAAGGATCTCAAGCCCTATTTCTGCCCATTCTCGGACCAGGACGATGAGGAACCGGGAGGAGGGGACTCAACACCGTTGGAGGAAGAGGAGAGCGCAGCCCGCCAGCGAAGGTTGAGGATCCCAGCAGGGATCCGATATGCGAGTGCGTCGCGATTGCAGCCCCCGCGAACGAGTGTGAGGAATCCGTGGCGGCCCCAAAGATACCGATCGAGGCGCCGGCTAAGCGAGGCCGTGGTAGGCCGCGCAAGAACCCTGCGAGCGAACCTCAGGCACCAGGTGGAGATGACCTGAATGGCAATGCGGCAAGGGGAAGAGGCAGGCCCCGTAGAACCACTCAGCACGTGCAGAAGGTGGTCCTGCCAGGAATGGTCCCCCGCAAATGGGCCATATTCACGAGAAAAGCGCAGGGGATCGGGACGTCCTCGTAAATTGTAGCGTCGAGCGTGACGCAGCGACGGTTAGGTTAAGGGCTGAACCGGAGATATCCCTTAACCCCCCTCTTCTCTTTTACAGATGGAGAGGAAGCTGGTGATCAGCGAAGAGGCCTTCGAGACGGCCACCCTGATGCTGCTCGACCTGAGACTGGGTCCGGACGCCGATCGGCTGATCGGCGACCTTCGAAGGTTCGTCCGGGCCCAGGTCGAGGTGGCCGCTCGAGAGGGCCGCTCGCGCCAGCGGGTGGATGACTTCCTCCGGGAAGGTATGAGGGCCCAAACATCCAAGCCCTTGACCCGGGAAGTGTCCACCCAGACCGACGGCCCATCCGAAGAGGGCCGCCGGTCTCAGTCCACGCGGGACCAGGGTATGCAGACCCAAGGGTCGAGCGCGTCGACGACGGAGAGCTCGACCCAGTGCCCCGGGCCAAGGGAGGCCTGCGGCCAACAGCATTGGGTCTGCAACCACCCACGAGTCCCCCAGCAGGTATGCCTCGAAAACTCCTGGAGGCACGTGAGGTTGGGCCTCCAGGAGCTCAAGAACGCTTGGGAATTCGTCGGGGAACTCCAGCGCCAGGTACACGCACACCTGGGGGAGTTCCTCGACTTCCGCGGCGCCCAAGAAATGCTGGGGGAGTGGGCTCCGGTAGTCCGGCGGCAGAGGGCCTATAGTGAGGCCCTGCTGCGCGTAGATCGGGGGCAGGCGTCCCCAGAGGCCGCGGGCCCGCCGGCGGTGTTACCACCGGCGACGCCAGCGAGTAGGGCCGCGGTCAGGACTCCGGCCAAGCCCCCGACACAGACTCAGGCCAAGAGAGTCTCGGGGGCCCCCCGGTGCCTGGCAGGAGTTCACGGTCCGCGTGGACGGGTCGGTTTCCGACCCTTCCGTGGTGGTGCGCACCCAAGGGGGACGCACATCCGCCACGGTGGGCGGCGTTACTTTTATCGCCGCCCTGGTAACTCCAGCCCAGCAGCCCCATCCACCAGCGGGAAGTCAGGGCCAAGGGGCGGAGCCTGGCCCCAGCGGACGTCCGCGGAAGGGCTGCTACATCTGTGGCCATCCCGGGATCACCACAACATCAAAATGTCCCAACAAGTCGGAGCACTTGCGCTATCCGAGGCATAAGGCGCCAGGAGGCTCCGGCAAGTGATGTAGGGGAGTGGTGGCCCGGGATGGGCGAAGAAATAATCAGGTTGATCAGGATTGAGTGTATTGATTTCTCCCTTTCCCTATCCTGCCCGTAGGGTCGCGAGTCGGCGAAGTAGTTCGGTCCGGTAGTCCGAAGCTAGGAGGGGGCTGCAACGATTACCGAAAATCGTTCGACTCGCGTGAGGTTAATAAGCGGCTGAACGAGAAAAGCCGCGATCGGTTCGAGAGACAGAGAGGGCGCGTAGGGGCAATGACCGGGAGGGGAGAGTTCGGTAACCAGTATGACTGTGTTACTCAGTCCGGTGAGATCGTCTCTACGTTTTGTGCGCCAAAGAACTGAACGTTTTTATCGCCAAGTGAGACCCAAGGGTGCAACAAACAGTTGGCGAAAGTGAGCGAGTGGTGCGTGCACTGGTGAACGTGCGCGGCCGTAACCGCAGTTGGAATCACCTATAGCAGCAACACCAACAGCAACAGCAGCAGCAGCACTAACAACAACAACAGTAACAGCGGCAGTGCAGCGAGCGGCGAAGCAGCTAATCAGCGGCTTGTAAATCGGATACGGTTGGCCACCGTATCCTCAACTATCTCGCGGTAGGTGCACCTTCCCTTTATTGTTGTTAGCGTGCGATCCCGCGCAGCGTGCGCGAAGAGATAATTCGTTGCGTGCGAGCGGTTAGTTCGCGGCGGTCACGAGGTTTTCTCTCTCTCTCCATCCGTTGACATTGTCAATTGTAATTGCGTACGCAAGACTCTCGGCAAATTCCCCGTGTATCAGATTTAATCTGAATAAAGCGATCAATAGTTGTCACTAAATCGAATCATTATTTTGTCTTTCCTTTGTCCGGAGTTTGCGTTTGTTTACTTTCGATTCGAATAAGCCGGTAGCGTAGCACGGATCACGCGGAGATCGGTAGAAACGAATCGCCAACCAAGTTCCCAGCAGCGGCCGTAGGAGCGCTGCTAGGCAAGAGCGACAGCGCCGCCAAGTGGCGAGTTGGGGAACCCAACTCGGATTGGCGACGAGACTCTGCGCAGGCGCACTCCCGGACAAGGTAGGTTGACGTGCTTTCAGCACGTAGATAACAAGGCGTCGTTGACCGAGATAATAAATAGGTTTAATAGGTTAAACGGCAGCCTGTTACATTATAAAAAATTGTAGTGAATTATACTGAAAGCTGTTTATTTAAGGTGAGTTGCTCGTGTAATTTTCCATACTTTTTCTCCAACACTTTTTTAATCATAGAATTACAAGTTTCCTATGTAGGATTTCCAAATCACTTGTTCTATTTTATAAGACAAATCTTTTGACATGAATCTCATCCTATTACCATACTTCTAAATTATGAACATGTAAGTTTGATTATTTCTTTTTTATATTAAATGTTTTATGTGCACACTACTTTGACTGAAGCAGTTGTTTGAGGGATTATTTTGTTCGATGAAGGAAGCCTTATAAAAAATACTTAAAAATTTTTTACTGAAGCCTCTTTCAAACTGAAATAAGCTATGAAATGTTGCAAAAGGTCGATTTTCCACTACCTTTTCAGATTTAATTCATGTTCCGTGGCTTATTTCAATTTGATATAGGTTTTAGTAAATATTTTAAGAAAATTTTATAAAACTTAATTCATCAAAGGTAATAAGCTTTTGAGAGCTATCTTAGCCAAAATAGTATGCGTATGGAATATTTTGAAATGAAGCTTGGTAAAAAACTCAAATTGCCTACAGAGTGAGTTTCAAAACCTGAAGGAAATTGAGCAAGTATTTAAAATGTTAGTTTTTATCCAAAGAATATATGTGCAAAGATTCAGGATCCTAGGTCCAAAAATTGAAATAATAAAAATTTCGCTAGGAACCCACCTTATAGATGAAATATAGTAGTTAAAGCTCTCTTGCCATTACCGACTGAGCAAAATAAATTATTCAAAGTTTTCTCTTAAACAAATAAATGAATCAAGCTGAAACTTTTTAGGAACATTCATTGTGCATAAGCGAAGGGTGCTCAACTCTTCTTTTCATGAAAATTTCCATGGAAATCGATGGAAAAAAAGGGAAAACTACTTCTAGTTTTTATTTCTTTTCTCGATTCTTTTCTCAAAAATCTGATCTCACGAAAAAATTAGCACATCTGTAAATATCTTCTGACATAAATAACTTTCTAAAACTACTTTTCTGGCTAATAGGTCTAAGCTATCAATTTGACTTTTGAAAACATGGATTTTGTGCCCGTAAAAGAAAGAAAAAAATTAAATGATTTTCAAAGAAGCCCGGTATTGTCATTTTATTGTAATGAGAGTCTGGCGCTGTCGCAGCTTCGCGGCTATTATATTTTTATATAATGGATTATAACGAGCCCAATCTTTATTTTTATAGTTATAAGATTGCTTGAAATCAAATGAAACTTCAGACGTTTTACTTATAGATCATTTTTTCTCGCATAGTATTTTCATGAAAACGAGATTCTTTGAATAATTTTACATTTTAAACTTTCGCATTAGAATGTTTTCTCATAGTTTGTAACTTAAATCTCTTATTATTACAGGGAACTATGGAAGAAGAAATTAAAAGAAAAAAATATCAGAAGTGTGCAGGATGCGATATATATTTACACAAAGCTTCTGGATACATAAAAACATTGGATACAGAGGACGACTTATCAAATTTTCTTCAAGCGTTTGGCAAAAACGTAGATATGAATGTGGAATTATGTTCAAAATGTTATTCAAAGCTTCGATTAGTTTCACATCAGAAGAGCAAGCAAGATCCATCTAAACAAGAAACTCCTGAATCTTCTATTGACTCTCAATTCGCATCATCATCGCAATCATCATCCATGGATGGGTCACAAGTTGTATATCCAGAACCAAAACCACAAGAACCGGTAGAACTAATTGAGATGCCGATTCAGAGAACAATATGTACTCATGCATATTGTTTCTTATGTAAGCTGCTTTCGGGAATAATTCAAGTTCCAGTTGAAGCTCGCATGCAAGTCTACGCTCATAACAGAATATATATACCAGCTGGTAATAGATGTTGTCGTAAACATCTTATTAAAAACCGTTTTTATCAAGATGAATTGGATAATATTAAAGTTCATTCATCAACTAGCACAATTACCGTAACAGAGTTATCAAAACTGTTGGAACAGTTATCAGTTAGAGTAGATGCTGAAATTCATGATAAAGTTGGAGATTTCACTTTTCCGGAGGAACGGCTAATAGTACTGACTGGGTTGACTTGGGAAAACATAATTGAATTACGTGGTATGATGACATCTTTAAGAGATTCAGTCTCTCGGAATGTGACGCAAGCTTTAGTCGTTCTGTTGTTTAAATTGGTCAGTGGTAATTCGAACAAAATTATTTGCGCCGTTCTAGGACTCGAGCGTGATCAACAAGTATCTGATTTTTGTAATTCCATATTGACATCTTTTGAAAAAGATGTACTACCTACACGTTTTGGAATAGGAGTGATCAGTAGAGAAGAGTTAATAAACCATAATACTCCAGTTACTAAAGCACTACATGACATCAAAGATAATGAATTGGCATTAATTGCAGATGGAACTTACCTTCGACACGAAAAAAGTTCGAATAATAACTATCAAAGAAAGTCTTTTTCCGGACAAAAAAAAGTACCATTGTGCAAGCCGTTCACAATATGTACTTTAGATGGGTATATTGTTGACTCTGCAGGTCCATTTAAGGCTAATCTCAACGATGCTCAAATAATGGAATGTTTGATGCAAGATCCTAACGGTTTGCGAAAGTTAATGCAAAAAAATGATCTATGGGTCGTTGATAGAGGCTTTCGTGACGTTAAAGAAAAACTTGAAACATTAGGATTCAAAGTTTTAATGCCAGCACTTAAAGGTAAACGTAATCAGTTAACAGCAGATGAATCTAACCACAGTCGTTCTGTTACTGCTATACGTTGGCCAGTTGAAGTGGTACATGGTGTCATTGGGAATAAATACAAATTGCTTCGACATAAGTTCTACAACACAATGTTGCCGAAAGCTGGTCTCTATTGCAAAGTAGCTTGTTTTTTACAGAACAAGTTTGGAAAGCGTTTTATAACTGACCCATCTTTAACAGATGAAATAGTCTCGCGTATGATTGAACAGAGAAATTTGGAGAATACTTTAGCTTCAGAAGTTGAAACTGGTCACTGGAGTAGGAGAAAAATACCTTTCCAGTTAATAACATCAGATCAACTGTTAGACTTTCCAGAATTGACAGAAAGAGATTTAAAAATATTTTTCACTGGGACGTATCAATTGCAACAGTCCATATCTTACCTGGCAGAAATGATGGACGAAGATAACAAAATTGAACTTTACTATTTAAAAGAAACAAATGAAATTCTGAAAGTCCAAGTGAGATCGAGGCACGTCAGTCGAAAAACATATAATTCTTACATACACTACCGACCAAATTCTATAGGCTATAAGGGCATTAGGAGACACTACTGCGAATGCGCAAATGGTAACCGCACTATTGGTTGCTGTGCTCACATTGCTGCTGTTATTTATTACCTTTCGCATGGTAGATATCTTTCCAAAATAGTAAAGCCTGCAGAAATCTTGAGCTCTATTTTTGCCGTTGAAAAAGTATCAGCCGTCATCAACGACGACAGCGACGAAGATTGATTGTTTAACACTGATATTTATTTGTTTATAGATTTAACTGTTTAGATACATTGAATAGACGTTACTTCCCTTTAGCAAAAGTACGTAACGTGCAATGAGTTTTGATATTATATTATTCACGAGGGATGATTATAAAGCAGAGAGCGCAATGTATAAAGTATTCAGATATGTAAATAATTATTTATATTATGTATGTAGCTTATTAGTTCATCTTAAATTAAAGATTTTATAAATATAAATTCTGAAGCAAATATGTTTTTACACTACATAGATTTTACTCCCAAATAAGGAAATACACTTTTTTGGTCTTTACAGCTTCGACAGATTCGGGTGCAAAATAAAAGTAAGTAATAGGGATTTTAAAACTACGTGGTTTATTCAACAGTGCCGCAGTACCAAATAGTGCAAAAATCTGATGAAAAATCCTATAGATTTTTTTCACAAAGAACATCCTAAAATATTTAGCACTTCGTCGTGAACAGGGAAATAATATTTTTTTATCATTATCAAGGTACGAGTAGTAAACATAAGTCATGCATGTAGCCAGGAATAATAATAATATTGGGTTCAGCCTTTCAACGGAGTTTCAGAGATTAATAGTCGATTTCTCGTCGTATAATGATACTAATAATAAAGGTATGATGTATGTTTCTGATGTATTTTTGAACGTAGAACCCGATGGCGCGATTGGTTTTATCGTAGAATGTAATTGAAAAGTGCTATAGTCAACAAAATATTGAAAAACTACTGGAAAGCAGCTGCTTTCCACTAGTTTTTCGCTTTTATCATTTTCGGGATTAGGCCTACCATAAAACCAGTTACACCATTGTGTTTACGTTAAAAAATACGTCGAAAACATGTATCATACTTTCATCGTTAGCTCTACCGTGTAATGAAAAATCGACAATGAAACGTGCGACCTTCGATTTTCCATGTATTACATGTGGGCAGGCTAAGATTGGGAGTTTAGTCGTCGATTTCTTAGAGTGTAATGGGTCTGATGATAAAAGTGTTATGCATGTTTTCGACGTATTTTTTAACGTAGAATACGATGGCGCTATTGATTTTATCGTGGAATGAAACCAAAAAGAGCTAGAATCGAAAAACTGGATTTTTTATTCGTTTTTAGTGGTTTTTATTTTTTTAGGTACCTTCTACCACCTATAAAAATCTGAAAAAATTCACACATGTACTCCTATCTATGAGAAACATTCAAGATTTTTTTCGGAGTTGCAGGTATGAATGGACAAAATCGGCGTTAAATTGAAATTTTCGAATGCTTTTAAAAATTTGAATTTCACGCTAAAAAAAATTTGGTGTTTATAGGTTCGTAGCTCTTCAAAAACCCTACAACTTTTGTATTTACAGTTTTTAGGTATCTTCACAACCAACCGAGCTATTGTCAAAAAACCTAAAACCACAAAATAGTGTCCCATTTTGCCCCATGGGTCAATATGGGTCTGAAAATTTGGCAGAGGGGGTTTCATTATAAGCCGGAACATTGGGCTTTGTCACTTTTTCGAAAGGTCTAAGGGCACTTTTCACATGCTTACCCGGCTGGGCTCTTTAAGGGACTGAAAAAGGGATTTTCCTCCCAACCACCCGCAGGGTTTAAAAGGGCGTGCGCAAGCGAAAATCGCTCACTCTCTCGCTCCTCGCAAGCTTCATAAGTTACCTCGTTCGATCAAGTGTCAGGACTCTCCAAGTACCAGTCAACTACATTGAATAAAGAAAAAGTAAGTTTAAACAAATTTTTTATTGCTATCTCTCCTCTTCCTTTCTATTAAGAATAGTTAGACCGGAATTCGAAAAAAAAAAGCAAGTCTTCGAAAATTATTTCAACAAGGATTGGGAATACTTTTCTATAAGACAGTCGCACCGTTAAACAAAATTTAAATACTTTTTATGTGATAATTCTAGCAAGGTTTGGGATTTTCACATCCAAGTCCCGATTCCATTGGACCCTGGTGTTTGATGGAAGACTTGCAGTCAAATTTTATTTTTCACTCTTTTAACGCGAAACGCGAAATAGAAAATCTCTGATTCTCCAATTGCTCGTCCCGGTTTAAGCGTACGCACGCAAACCAAATAGAGCACCTGAGATTACGTCCGCCTCAGACGTACCTGAGATAGTGACCCGGACGTGACAATAGCAATGTTCATGATAATTTTGGTAATTCATTCAATACTGTTCGTAAGTGAAAATGCAGTCAAACAAAAGTATTATTATTATTGATAAAATAGATAAACTACAATTATGTGGAGAATAGTTTGGTTTTTAAATTAAAAATTCTTTTCTAATTTTAAAAAGCAGCAACCAGTCAGCAACAAAGCAGGTTTCCACAAGTTAGCGTGAAATTAACAGCATTGAAAATCTGCTAGATTGTAATCATTACACTGGTAATGTTCAGATATTCTATGAGCTTGTTGATCGTTGTTGCAATAAACTAATAAGCTTATAATTCAAATAAATGTATGTTTTGCTAAAACTATTTATATTCAGGATATACATGTTTGGCAGGAAAGTTCAGTTCTCAAGCTTATTGACTGTAGAGCTTTCATTATTGGACCAATTTATCACTTGTCCCTATTGAAATTGAGTTCTTTATGTGAAGGTTATTACATGATTGACAGCTTGACACATGTAACGACAAAACAGTTGATAATCACTTCAAAATTTCAAATAAAAGTCAGTTAGTAAACTTTATATTTTATATTCTTAATAATTCCACTGAACATTCAAACTCGTGTCTTTGATACCCTTTGTACGAATGTGAATTCCGATCGTATATATTCTATCAAAAAATCAGATTTCTCTTATATAATTACCAATCGCAATTGGCTTGCGAGTGTACATTCAAATACACCATCATTATCAAGGACTTGGGTGACTTATTGCTACCTTTTATTTCTAAATCATGGCGTCATCATCTTCAGTTTCTGGTGAGGAGAATCGTCATCGTCGCAGTGAACGGCTTTCTTCACGGGCACTGGATGTAAGGCCTCAGCCCATCGAGAGGTAAGTAGTTAATTTTTATGTGTATAAAAGATAATTGGCAAATTATTAATAAATTTATGTTTTTTCTTTATAGGCCGTCTGGTGAAATCAGTTTTAACGAAATTGATTTGCGCGCATATTACGACTATTTCCGTCACCGTTATTTCAACGATGACGTTGAAATGAAAGAGTGGCGGATCTATCGTGGATATGCCGGCAAACAACATTTTGGGTTGACTGATTTCACGGACCGACACATCATAGTGAACGTGAAGAAGCACACGTCTTTGCAGCAAGTGTCTGGCACCATCTTGCACGAGATGTGCCATGTTCACCTCTACTGCAAAGACGGTGAAAAGTCCGTTGACTGCGCCGATCATTTCAAAAGAACTCTTTCAAAAGAAGCTAAGAATGATCAATGATCAAGGGCAGGACTACTACTGTGGGCAAAAAGTAAGGTGAATTTTCAATTTAAACTTCGCGGGCTTAACATTTCGGGCTAGTTCTTTTTTTCTTGAGTTGGTAGGACTGCGAATGACATCTGGGACAAATTTCATGTCAATGTCATCATCAGTAATATATTTACGCTTGTATTTACCAAACGACCAAGAGTGCATGTTTCGATTTTTACAATGTCTGATTTAATTGAGCAAAGAAGTGCCATCAAATTTTGTTTGCGGAATGAAATTTCGGCTGCGGAAACGTTGAGGATGTTGCGGAAGGCCTTTGGTGATTCTACCATGTCGCAGAAAAATGTTTATAAGTGGTACAAAGACTTCAAAGAGGGTCGAGAACGTGTTGATGACTTGGAGCGCTCCGGACGACCATCGACGTCAACAGATGACCAACACGTCAATAAAGTGAAGGAATTAGTGCTCGAAAATCGTCGGTTGACTGTTAGAGACCTTACTGATATGATCGGAATATCAGAAGGATCTGTGAAAACAATTTTGAAAGACCATTTGGGCCTACGAAAAGTCAAATCTCGTTTGGTACCGAAAACGGTCAATTTCTTGCAAAAAAGTCGCCGCGTTGATGTGTGTGAAACAATGCTTTCTGACTATCAGGACAAGCTCAAATGCATGATTACGAGAGATGAGACTTGGATTTATGCTTACGACCCTGAAACAATCGACCAATCAAGCGAATATCGTGCTAAAGGCGATGCCAGACCGAAAAGTGCACGTCAAAGTCGTTCAAAAATCAAGGTCATGATGACAGTTTTCTTCGATTTTCGTGGTGTGGTGCACTATGAATTCCTTCCACCCGGCCAAACTGTTAATAAGGAATATTATTTGAGCGTTATGCGTCGTTTGCGTGAAGCAATTCGTCTAAAAAGACCAGAATTATGGGCCAACAACTCTTGGTTTTTGCATCACGATAATGCACCATCTCACACTGCACTCGTTCTTCGTGACCATTTCGCCAAAAATTCGACGCATATCGTTCCGCAACCACCGTATTCGCCTGATTTGGCTCCGTGTGACTTCTGGCTATTCCCAAAACTCAAGAGACCACTCCGGGGAACGCGTTTCGAGTCGATTGAGGAGATAAGAGCTGAATCGAAGAAGGCGCTGATGGCTATACCGGAAAGGGACTATTTGGCATGTTTCGAGGATTGGAAAAAACGTTGGCATAAGTGTATTTTATCGGGAGGGGATTACTTCGAAGGGGATGACATTGATGTAGAAGAATAAATAAAGATTTTTCATTTTACAAACAAATTCACCTTACTTTTTGCCCACAGTAGTATATCTTTGGAAAGGTCTTTAAAAAAGCCATCGATTGATGGAATAAAATTCGACCAAAACCTTGTCGCTCTTCGAGTTTTCAGCAAGTATATATGTACATACATATATATTCATCCCACGTTCTGTATTTTTGAAAACTAATTATATATTCGTAAACTAGAGCGAAAGTAGATGTTATTTCATATGTATATGTCTATACCTAAAATAAGTCCTTCATAGGTAAAAATAAGCTCAAAAATTGGAAATTTTCC